AAATCATGCAATGTCTCATTAAGATCGCAAAATAGTTTGGATCTCAAATGGTCACCTTTCTCGGTTTAGTGTTTATCTTTGGTTATATTTTTGTAAATAATCGTTTCTGGCTCTGACGATGTCCGTGACATGACGAACGAAAGCTCAGCATGGAGTCATCGGGGTCGTCTGACGGTGAGCCGAGGTCTTCTCCGCACAATTCAACAGACAAAAGTCCTTTGGTATCCGTTGAAGTCAATCTACGAATCTTTTTTAGCCGCTATCTCAAAGGAAATGAAATTTATGTCAATATTTCAAGTATTTCCTTGATAATGACACCAAATTGTGTCAGGTGATGTGACTTCCTTTAAATACATTTTCCGACGATATTCTCCATCCGATATCCGATCCGGTTGAGGTAATAACGAGTGCCAGGCAATGTCGAAACTGCAACTAAGCCAGGGAGATTAAGCCCTTTGGGCGGTAAAGCAAAGAGAAATTCAATGAAATTGTGATGCTTAGTCATGTGGTTGAGAGAAACTACAACTGCCCGCCTTTAAACTGAGATATAAAGACCAAGATGTTGTCGTCTCTTTTTGTCGCAATCTTCTTCCACTTTAGAGAAGTTGCCTGACCTCCTTTTCACAGCTTGGTTGTGGTATCAATGCGCCCTTTTTGGACGCACCTTGTCTGATATCCTCTGTCATAGTAGTCATCATAATTCCCAGCATTAGCCTGTGGAGTTAGTATCTTTCTAGAAGTTTCGCCGGCCTCGTAGTCCTATTGTTTGGACAAGTTGCAACGTAATGCCTGCCTTCCAAAATGCTATTTCATACAGCCTGGACTGGACAAAGTCTCAGATTCAAGCAAGCGACATTCAACCCCGAATGGTGAATACCGTATCGAGATTACCACTCCATTGCACAACCATGTGTGTTCGTGAGTAATGTAACAGATCCAAGGCAAGCCAGGCTTCCTACCTTCCTATGAGGTTTAAATCCTTTTGTCGAGAAAGGCAATGTGAAATTCAATGGAAACGTGAGGCTTAGTCATATGATTGTGAGAAAAAAGGATATATTGTTAGTCTCGGAAACCTTAAAATAAACTAAAATAGGCCAGGCTTCAGCTAAAGCAACATTTAGATTTAGATTTCGACAATTAAAACGTGTAATTTTTTTCTAAATAAACGATGTTACATATTTTCGGCAATTCTTGAACACAAACCTATTTTTGAAGGTATGAAGACCAAGATGGTATGGTCTTTTGTGTGTTCGAAGTCTCCTTTCATTGTATAGAAGTTGTTTGACCTTGTTTTCGCAACTTGGTCAT